CCCGATGCCATACACCTCGCTTTGTCGTGCCTTCTTTCGCTCTTTCCGCGATACAGGCTTTATTTGGCCATTGGCAGCAGGAGCGCTGAGCGCGGTTTTGACTTGCTCGTCCGAAATGTCTCTTCGCGCGTGGAAGCAGAAGTGCTCCAATTTGCTGCAATGTCTTGTCACATTGCGAAAGACTCCATCCCGTACTTCTGGGTTCAGCTTTGGGTAATCCCGTAGGTAGATAAACGTGTGTAGATCAGAGTTTCTGAAGGCATCGACGCTTGTGAATTGGCTTAATCCTGGGCAGTTGTACAGGCGTAAGAGACCGATCTTGTTGACTAGATAGGCATGTTGTGGAATGTAACCCGTCTTGAGAAGGAGATTGACTTCTGCAACGCGGAGTTCTTCCAGTATGACACCGTTGGGCATTTGTTCGAAGAGTCGAATCAGCACGTTGTCCATCAAAGTATTGTCTTTATAGTTGTCGTTGAGGATTGATACTGAATGGACGCGGTATTGCCGCTTACTGTCGATCATACCACGAACGATATCCGCCGGTGCATATGGGGCGCATATCAAGTCGAGCGGTCGGTCTTTGAGGTCATCGAAACGCGTGCTGGGTGCGATTCGAGTGAGTCGGATGCACATGCCGAAGTGACCGGTAAGCTCTCGGATCTGCGGAGGTGCATTACCAGGTAGATACTTTCCTGGGGGTGCCCGTGTATGTGGTCCAATTAGTGTGTTACGCGTGACCGAGGCGTTGTGAGATCTGATCCAGTTGCGCTGATCCTTGTTCCGTGGATCTATGAATGTCCAGAGACGCCGCATGAAGCCGTGTGTACCTTGGATTCGAGTCAGGTCGCCAAAGTCGTGACTTGGTATCATGAGAAGTTCTGCCTTTGGTAGATGCTGATAAGTCAACAGCATCTGGTTTAGGACAGACTCAACCACCATGCTGTTGGGCCTAAACATTATCGCCCTGACTGGGGTGTGCTTGAAGTTCGGGAGCACGGTAGCCATAAACAACTCATATCGTAGAGGTACGTCGAAGGTGATGGCGCGGAAGTTATATGGATGCGTGAGTAGCGAGGAGGTGTTGTTCAGGCACTGCGCGCTCTTTTTCGACATACACAGCTCAGCATACTTGACAAAAATGCGCTGTAGTTTTCGAGTCGCGCTTTTGTAACCGGATCGAGTCGAGAGTAGTAGTAGGTCATAAAAGTTGTGCTGGGAGAGCTGTAAAGTGTCAGATTGAACTCACACGAGACTTGCCCCAGCCTTACATATTGGCAGATCAACTCCATCAACTCTTCGGGTAGAGCCCAGAACACTTTCTTGCGAGATCGTAGTCGGGTCGTATCAAGAGTCGGGCGCAAGCGTTTGGGGGGAGGAGGCTCGCCTGGGCCGCGATCATGTAGAACCTTCCGCTTCTCGAGTCGCTGGGCGTTGGCGTGCTCACTAGAGTCTGCAACAGTAGGGCGCTCATCCGGGTAGGTAGGAGATTCAGAAATCATGCTCGCTGAAACGTAGATAGCTCCGCTTTTTAGGGGCGTCGCGTGCTGATGGTTAGTATCGCGGGGTGGAGTGTTCGGAAGGGAGTACGCGCGGGTGACTGCGACGGGCTATGAATTGCCGCATTGCCCGTTGCGGATCGCTCGAGACCCAGAAAGGAAAGTGACATGTTGCGGTGAATGAGTGTGTACTGGTGAAAGTGAAGCAGTGAAAGTCACCCCTCCACCGCATCTCTACCCAGCCACTGGCGGTGGAATGAGCGGGCTCTTGACGTGATCATCAACTTAGAACTTGGACTTTGAGAACCCCAGGATCAGATGGTAGTGGCTTGAAAGGCGTGTACTATAGGACTAGAGTCACGAACAAGACATTGACGAGAATTGCTTTCTGAAGTTCGGTCATTATGGAGGCCTGCCTCGGATTATAGGATATATAGGTCAAAGTCGAAGCAGTGAGTAACAGAAAAAGCGTTGGCAGTGGTGGTCCCGAAGACGAAAGAATAGAATGAAGTTCACGTTTTTGCCGGACAAAGACATCTGGTTTGCTATCTTCTAGCTTGACTCCAGAGTTGCACCCCAAAAACTCGTATCCCTTCTTCAGCCCAGCAGCATGCCGCAAAAGCAAACGAAAAGATGATTTAGCAGAATTGCAACGAAACCAATGAACTTTTTCGAGGAACGGGGGACACGCTCGGTCATACACTTCATCGCGCATCCGCCCGTTCCTATCACATGAGGCGCCGACTGGAGGTCGACTTATCAGTACTGCCGTACGGCTTTGTCCGTACTGATAATTTCGTCAGTACTCCCAGCAAAGTACTGATATAGGCTCCTCAGAACCAGCGGCAAGAGGTCGACTGGCCGGTAAGCAGCATGCTAAGCACGGCTTTCGGCGCAGGGAGTGGACAAGCGGGACACCAATCTCTAGGTTGGTGAAAGGCGTTGTCTCGGATGCCATGAGGATCAGCCCGAAGGCCATACAAGGTTGTAGGTAGGTAGCCGCCGAATCAGCGAAAGATGTAGAAGAGGTCCGCACGAACGCGAAACCGAAAAGAAAACCTTGTGAAGAATGCCGCATGAGGAAGGAAGGATGAGGTGGCTACCCTCCTTGTTCCAAGATACAGAACAGAACAGCTTGAGTAACCCTACGGCAGATCGCAATGCCTGAGTACGGGAAGTCGCCATACCACAGGTATTGCTACTGTGCAGTCGAGATGCTGAAGCAGAAGTGTTGCGCATGTTGCAAAAAGGAGAGCAGGTGTAGTTCAATTTGATATGATGCGCGCGAGCGCGGAGCAAGAAAGGGCTTGGTGTACAGTCCGCGAAATTCGCAAGTTGAGAATCGGAGTCAGTTAATGGTGGTGGAGAGAGAGAGGAGAGGGAGGGCAGACTACTTAAGACTGCGGGCAGGTGCGGGCGGGCTAAGGAGCGCACGGGCCACGTGTTTGCTCGAACCTGCCACCCTGCCTAGTCGTGAATTCACCGAGATATTTATACGCTCATCTTCACCTGCTATACACCGCCTTCACCTGTCGCTAATTTCGGGCGCAAGCGATATGACGCATCCTTCATTGTACTGAGATGTGTGCTGGAAGAGACCGATGTTCATTCACTTCAAGTTGCGTCACAGGTTGTAGTAAAATGATGATGTTGATCGCGGCGTGATATGGATCATTTCTATTCTCTCGTCATCTACTCCAGATCTTTGTCCTTGCAGCCTTCCGGTGCGATAAGAGGATTGCATCTCGCAGCCAATCCTCCGGGAAGCCTGGCGACATAGTCCCAACCCCATCGACTGCTCATGCCCCAAGCTGGGAAATCGGTACTGACAATCTGCGCACCACTCTCGAAAGCTAAGTCCCTCATCTCTGTAGTGCGGTTCAAGATGGTATCGATGGGTATATCAGCACGTGTTCGGATCAAGTAGCCCTTCTTGACAAGACGCCGGATCTCTGCTGTGCCGTTGCCGCGCGGCTCATTGTATTTGATGAATGCAGCATCGGAAGATCCTTCGAGCGCATTGGTGAAGACAGTGCGGTTTTGTAGCGAGGGGGCGCCGGTTTTGTAGAGCTCGCGAGGCGAGTTCGGGTCACTGGGTTTTGGGTCGTTATCGAAGAAAAACAGAAGGCGGCCGCGAACATCCTTTAGCTTCGGCCAGCCTTGTTGCAAGATGGACTGCTCGAGGGTAAGACCACTCTTGCGCACGTCATCAGGGCGAATGAGTTGCTTCTTAGGAAATACAGAGAGGATCTCCGCGTCGACGTTCAAGAGGTGAGGGAGGGTCCAGTTTGTCGCTTCGCCAGGGCAGACACCGCCTAATGAACATGCCGGCGCATCGGTCTTGAGCTCGAGATCAATAGTGATAGGGACGTGTCTTGGATGTGCATCTGACCAACTCTTCAACTGCTTGAGACAGTCGATGAAGGTGTGGCAGACAGAATCGGGGTCGAAGTCTGTGACGTGGAACACCTTGATACCTGGCTTCTTCAGAATGTCACCATTGTAAGGAGTGGTGGCGTTTGTCAAGTTTGAGAGCGTCCATATGACAGGGGGATAGTACAGGCCGCCCTTTTCATCCGAATGTAAGTCGAGCTCGAAAGAGCGCACGGACTGGTACTCCAATTGATTGTCGAGCTCTGCGTGCGAGTAGTAGTAGTCTTCTGGAGACGGTACGTATTTCTCAAAGACTGGTCGCTCGGCGAGTGAGACTTCACGATGGTAGGAGTTGTGCGTTCCGATGACTTGAATATGGTTGAAACGGATGTCAGACTTGGATGCCAGTGCGCTTTCTATGTATTGTCAGCTTGGGCACCTCCGCGCAAGAAGACAACCTACGAGCGAAGAGCATTACGCTCGCAGAAGCCTGATACCATTAGCATCCGTTCGTTCTCGCATGCCAGGAGTTATCCTTACCAATGATCCCAACATGTTGCTCTTTCCTTCTGAATTGAAGTCTGCGGTCAAGGTGAAGACGCACAAAGCAAACAAAAAGAGCGCGAGCAACAAGGCCCGACCTTTATACGCCATCGCACCCATGTTGTTCAGCGCGCAACGGCATGCACTAAAGCTCAGTTGTTGAAGTCGTTCCCGCCATGCGTCGCGTTGGCGTTAGCTCGTCGCGTGCGCTCATCGGGTCCCGCGATTGGTTCATCGCACCACGTGGGTTCAGTGCACCGGCTCGGAAATTTCTCAATGTAGAAGGTACAGATTCTGTAGGACCGTAAATCCGCACGTGCGTCACTTCGCGTTCGTGCGCGCTTCTGATGGAATAAAGACGCGTTGCAGTAGTTCGTTGCACGAAGCGATGACGCGGTGACAGGAGCTGCCAGGGGAAAAGCGGGGCAGGTCGCCTGTAACGGAAGGACCACCTTAACCATCAACAACATTGAAGGCCCCGGAAGATCTCATAGCGTGCTAAAATGCGCGAAAACCATTTTCCTGGAAAATCATCAATGTAGTATTTGTGCTTTGGATTACCACCGCACAAGAAGCTAACAGTCACTACCAACCATACTTCTGTCCATATCTGCCGACAAACCCTCCTACATCAGCATCTCTCTCGCCTTGCACAATCTGTAACAGTCCTAGCGCACTTGTCTCTGAACTCTCAAGGCCTTGTTCCTTCCTTTGCTCTTTGTCGTCTCCTATATCCGTCACCACATAGCCTGGGCAGTACGTCCAGACCTTGAAGCCATCTGGCTTGAGCTGGACGTACTGGTATGCCGTCAACATGTTGAGCGCAGCTTTAGTCATGCGATATCCGGGGTATTTAACCTGGGCGTAGGGAGAGCTGTGATCGGAGATCAAAGTGATGCTACCCATAGTAGAGGACACGTTGATGATGCGCGGATTGGATGAGCGCTTCATTGCGGGAATGAGAGCTTCTGTGAGGATGGTAGGGCCAAAGACGTTGGTTTCGAACGTGGTGCGCATCTGCTCTCGGTCTGGCCATGTGCCGTCTCTTTCGGGACATATACCAGCGTTGTTGATAAGCACATCGAGCTTGCTGAAGTCCTCCTCGATCTTCTTGGCAGCAGCTTTGATAGAATCGTCGTCATTGGCGTCGAGTTGCACCAGGGAGAGTGTGCCTTGGATGCCTGCTTTGGCTTGCACATCTTTCAAGACTGTTTCGCCTTTCGACATGTTGCGCGCGCCGATTATGACATGGTACTTTGGAGATGCAGAGGCAATATAAATGACGGTGTCCAGACCGATACCGTTGGTTGCTCCTACAGAGGCTATCAGTATGACGAGCTTGGTAAACGTCCGGAGGGCTGGTACCTGTTACGAGCACGACCTCCTTGTCTGGGTTCGAGGACATATTTATTTTGAATCGATTAGATTGTGGTAACGGATGATATGCAGATTTTCGACTGAAGTAGAGGAGATGGATTTTGTGATACTCAAGCTGGAGTGGAAGGCGGGCGAATTTATATCTTGCCAGCGATTCAGCACAACATGAACGGGTCTTACGGATGTCCACCAAGCATAATCCACGACGAATAGAGTACGGTCTGGAACTTGCTATAGACCAAATAGGTAATTGTAACATCAGAAACCCCGTAGATCGAGAAGGAGCTCCGGCCCGATCCGGAGTTAGTTGTCTAACTCCGATTCGCGCGGCCTGATGAAGTAATTCAAACGCCCCACAAAGACATGCTATGTATGAAGACTTACTCATGTCAATCGTATATACGAACGCGCGAATAGTAAATCGCTGCATGATCAGATCTGAGGACTGAGTGTATGGATGACTACATCGCAGGCTGCACTTAACGCATAAATCCGAGAGGCGCTTTCCGTTTAGAACACCGAGCCAGATCCCATGCATGGTGGACGCGAAGGTGTGACGCTGAATAGCATGACTCACGAAGAACAGGTAGGAGTTGCCAGAGCATACCATGATCGGTGTCCTCATAGGTTGTACGCAATTTCCAAGTGTTGATCGTATCGATGTTGTGCACCCCAGTATGCCTTCGCCGGTTCACTTGTGGCATCCAATTCTGACCTGCACCGCTTTTCCTGAGCGAGGAACTAAACCTGTGCCAGAGGTACCCCAAAACCTACGAAAGCCGTGTATTACATGTTGGTTAAAGCCGTGATATTCCAATCTGCACTCGACTGGCTTCTCTTTTGCAGCCTAGTTAATGGTGTTGAAAATGCTTGTGACCGTTTCGAACACTCGAGGACGTGCTCGTAGTCTGGAAGCAATGAAGACGGATTTTACAATATCTTCTCAGCAGTGAGTCGAGACCTGCGCCAGTACGACTCGACTTTGCACGGCCTTTGAAAGAGTATGCAGGTTTCGTAAGACTCAACCTACTAAGCAGCCATGAGGATGGTAAGCCTGACTGCTTGAGACGAAGTATGGGTAGATGTGGTTGGTTGGCACTTCTGTCCTCGCGAAAATTCCTTTGGTACAATGCCAGTACTTAGGACGCAGGGCAAAAAGGGGGTAATTGAGCATGTCGGAGGACGCTTGGGGTAACAAATCTTGAGATTAGCGCGGCGCGACACGACGTCATGGCGGCTCAACCCACCAGACGTCTCAACGCGCCTAGAAGCGACCTGATGTCGCACTCTGTCGAATCACTCAGCCCTGAACGCGCATAGCGCCGCCGACAAGATGCCCTCCCTTGTGCGCAAGCTGCTCATCTTCGCCGCCGTCGACGGTCTCATCCTCCAGCCGTCCCCGCCCCGCAACCATCCGCCCGCGACGCAGCAGGCCATCAAGGTCGACTACAAGGGCAATGTCGGCCCCCTGTTGAAAGACAGGCGCGAAGAAGATACGGCGCCCGTGTCTGTGGAAGCGCATGGCATTATCGGTACGCGCGCAATCATTGGCGCATTGCGACACAGGCTGACGCTACTCTAAGGACTACTCAAAGTGGCTACTTCCTACTTCCTGATATCCATATCCGACCGCGAACAGGTGGCGCTTGTACGCGGCAAGCCCATCTACAAAATCACCGATGTCGCCCTCATCCCCCTCTCCTCGCAAGCCGACGCCGACAAGGCCATCGCAGCCACGCGTGACCATCTGAAGCGCCGCAACCGGGCGCCCGGCCTGGAAGACGACGACAGCGATAGCGATAGTGAGGATGGCGCGCCCAGTGTGACCGACTCGCTTGTAGAGGACTCATCGTCCACACCAAGCGAGGTCAAGGATTCGGTCACCGGACAAAAAGGCAGTGCGCAGCGCAAGACAAGTGTGGCCGAAGACGTTATACAAAGAAAAGGTGTATATGGAAGATTCGCTAACAAGTGGTTCTCGCGCAAGGGTTGGAGTGCTGACAACAGGCGTCTGCAAGGGCTGAGCTCAGAAGAGAACCTGGCGGCAAAGAACGTGCCGCAGAACGTTGACTCGGGAGTGCCCAAGGAAGAAGAACAACCCAAGAGCGAGTCTAAGCCAGATGCCATCTCTACAGATGACAAGGACATTTCGGAACCAGTCAGCCCGGAAGCTATTCCCAAGGCCCTGGGCGGCGAGAAGGACGCAGCCACTGTAGCACTCTTACCAAAGATTCTGCAGACCACCAAAATGTACTTTTCATCAGGCAACTTCTTCTTCTCATACGACTATGACATCTCACACGGTATTGGCCAGCAGCAAGCAAGTTCTAGTGTCGCCCTGTTTAAACAATTCGATCCTTTGGTCAGTTTACACCTTGCCCATGTAACGGACGATTGCTCACCAGTATCTAGTTCTTCTGGAATCAGCACATCATCGCACCTTTCATTGAAGCGGGCCAGCATGCTTTTGTGCTCCCCGTAATGCAAGGCTTCGTTGGTCAACGACCTTTCACGATCAAGACAGCTGATGGCCAGTCGAACAGTCTTGTAGTCGACCCGAGTGCCACCCCAGATGACATCCAGCTCCAGTCCTGGCATGAAAAGCAGAAAGAGGACTCACAGTCCAATACGGAAGCCAGTGGCGAAGCATCTGATCCCGATGCCTCTCTCGTGGACGGCAAAGACTTCCTGTTGACGCTCATCTCGCGACGTTCTATCAAGCGAGCTGGGCTTCGTTACCTGCGACGGGGCACAGATGACGAGGGCTGTACCGCGAATAGCGTCGAGACGGAACAGATCCTATCCAACCCGGCTTTTAGCACGACGCAAGACAAGATTTTCTCTTTCACACAGATTCGAGGCTCAATTCCCCTGTTCTTCTCTCAATCGCCCTACAGCCTTAAACCACAAGTCTCTACTTGGGGATCGTTTGAGACTAACGCTCGCGCTTTCAAGAAGCACTTTGCCGATCTATCTTCACGCTATGGCGAAATATACTGTGACTCGCTCATAGACAAACACGGTACTGAGGCGAAGATTGGTGAGCTTTATGAACAGCATGCGAAGTCGCTCAATAAGAATGGCGGGATGGACGGGAAAGGCAAGCAGCTGGGTTTCGAATGGTTCGACTTCCACAACGTGTGCCGCGGTATGCGCTTTGAAAACGTCTCGAAGCTGATGGATTCAATCGAACCTTTCATGAAATCTTCTGGATGGGTGGAGATCTTAGGAAATCAAGTACAGCAGAAGCAGTCAGGCGTCTTGCGTACAAACTGCATGGACTGTCTGGACCGCACCAACGTTGTTCAATCTGCGTGCGCCAGGACCGCTCTTGAAGCACAACTGTCAATGGGCAGTTACAGCATCGATCTCCAGAACGACCCCAGTACATCGTGGTTCAACACACTCTGGGCTGACAATGGCGATGCCATATCTCGGCAGTATGCTGGCACTGCTGCGCTAAAGGGCGACTTTACGCGTACCCGGAAGCGGCAGATAACTGGTGCGCTTACCGATTTCGGACTGACACTCACGAGATATTACAACAACATCGTGAACGACTACTTTGCTCAGGCAGTCATCGACTACCTTCTCGGTCGCGCTACGGATACCATCTTCGCGGAATTCGAAGCCGACATGAAGAGCTCAGATTACTTTATCGATGTACGCAAAGTGCGGCAGCAGGCCATTGAACGTTCTGCTGGCATCGTGATTGAGGATCGCGACGAAGACCTGGTACATGGCTGGACGTTGAGCGTACCCACTGCTGTTAACCAGGTCAAGACTGCTACATTTGAAGAAGCAGTCCTTCTACTAACAGAAAAGGCCTTGTACTTCTGCCGTCTCGACTGGGGAACAGAGAAAGTACGCGAGTTCGAGCGCATCCCCTTGGAGAACGTGCAAGGCCTCATGCGAGGTGTGTACGTTACGTCCACACTGGCGCAACGACACACCGACACAGACAAGAACGTTGGTCTCATCATACGATATCGAGCCGATACCAAGGGCGAGCTAGTACGGCGCAATACAAGGGCTCTAGATTCCGGAGCCGCCAGCGATGAGCAACGCAAAGACGACGCCAAGAAAGACCAGAAGCAGGATACTGCGGGCCGCTTCCTAGCGTTCAAAGCGCTTCCACCGAGAAGCAGCGTTCCGTCATCCCCTGGCGACAACCCTGACAATGAAGGCGAGGTTGTCAAATCGGTATGCGATGAGATTGTGAGGATCGCCAATGAGATGAAGAAGGGCGGCAGGGATGAAGACAGGACACTGAAAGTAGAGGAAAAGGATATAATCAGCCTTGTGGACGCGAAGAAGAGTACCGGCTACCTGGAACAGTTTGAGTATTCCTTGAAGAAGCTTGTTTGGGGCTAAGCCCGGTCTGATACTGGCCATGTATAATGTCTTGTCGTTTCTCATTGTATCTTGTTCAGGAAGCCGTACATAAACCTTTGGAAAGATGCTCGTATCATGCAATACAGTCATCCTGTAGATAGTTACGTTTCCACCATACGGTGTGTCTGAATCGTGGACTTGCCTTGATTGGGGTATAATCTCCTTGATCCCTATACTTCCCGATGGTCTCGGACGGTCACATCAAGAACAGCGGAGTCCAGCGACCAGCACGGCGGATTCACGGCGCTTCCAGGTCCCGGCGACTGAGGTGCGTGTGGGGACAATGCGGGTGGCTGCTGGCTACCTGACAAGCTTGCGAGAGCTATATCGGGAAATGCATCCGCTTTACTTGTGCAGCACTGCATGTCGAGGGTGCTAAGTGATGTGATACTAAAGACTTGAGAGCGGTGCACCGAGATATATGAGGAAGTCGCGTTACAAATAAGCCAGCTGGGGAAGTAACGAAACCACTGGTAAGCATCGACCCAGTTTCCTCTCCGCGCTCCAACATCTCCTTTCCCCATCCACCCTCTGCCCGGCGACTCCACTATTCCACGCGATGAAGCGCTTGCGTCGCTGGGACTTGTTTAATCATCAGCGGACCCGCGCCGCATCCTTTTCGGTGCAACGTTC